GCCCAAGCAACTCACTGTTCACACTCCGGATCACCCTGGATGTCCCACACGCAACACTCTGTAACCACACGCAACACACACACACACTACTACAGCTATGGCAGCGCTAGCTGCCACTACCCTAGCGCTATWCTACGCTCCTCTGCCCACTTCGTCTTCGGGCACACTGCAGACCTCCTCGCACAAGCTGCTGAGGCAGCGCTTCCGCATGGCATCCGCASGAATGAATGAATGGCTGGGCGCAGCCTCTTGATTTATACTCCTACGCTGCGTTGGTCTGCCCTGGATCCCTTGGCCCACGATGTGCACAGTCCCAAACGGTACTTGCTTGACTGGACCGGACTGGKCTAACTGGGACTGCTGACCGTACTAGGTGGACTACCACCACTTGACCACTTGCCTCTGCTGAACGCAGGCTAACTCTAAAAGAAGTCTCTAACTTGGCCTTTCGGTACTGTAGCAGCTACGACTTCGCCCTTTCAGGTAAGTAGCGGCTACGACCTTGACTCTTCAAACAACCTACAGCTACGACCTCTGAACTGTTTGGACTCCTACCCTACAAGTCTACAGTTCGAATCCCTCCTACCCTGTGACCTACGAAAGTCTACCTACCACTGGCGATCCTACAGGTCGCAGGTTCAAATCTACGGGTGGACATCAATACTGTACGCAGGTAAGATGGGGAACTTGGGATCGAGCCCTGGGATCTGCATTCGCTACTGCGAACTGGTGAATACCGTTTCAGCAGCTCGGATTCGTGCGTAATTGATCTAAGGTGGACTGGTCCTTCGAAACCAGTCCCTCTGCTCCCCTGGGAATCCTTTCCTGTCTACTTTGCGGTGAACTCGGTGCTCTACCACACGATCTATGCTGTATACGGTAAATGCGGTCCCTTTGTTCATCCCTTCAGTCCCTCTAAAACGGGGAGAAGACACGCAGGATGATTACTAGGTCGGATTGGTTTGTCGTTTGTTCTCAGTTCTTGGCTGTTGCTCTTCTCCCTTGGAAAGCTTGTCGTCCTCTTGTTGTCTCTTGTGCGCCGTGATGGTGGATGCAGAGGTGAACTCCGGTTCTTACCTTCGGATTGAGGAGCGGACTGTTCGCACCTTGTAGGGCGCCATGATGATATGCTTAGTGTGTTGTCGCTTCCTTCCTCGTTTGTGTGGTGTTTTGCTGTGCTTGTCCTTCCCTTTCCTTCTCCCTTGTTTGGAAATTTTCCACCCGGCTTACTTTTCCCCCTCAATCCCTTGTCTTTTCCTCCACATGGTGTGACTTGCTCCTCCCTTTTCCCTCCTTGCTGTCGTAGTCCTCCCTCTTCCTCCTCTTCTCCTCCCTTGTGGTTGCTTGTGGTTAGAGGTGCCACGCCCTGGGGTGTGGCATGGCGTGGCTTCCCGTGTTTTCGCCTTGTGAAAACCCTCTCTGCTCCATGCGGATTCGAAAAATGGTGGGAGCGCGCGAAAGCAAGCGGCCTGTGAGAGCGGGCTGTGACCACGGCGTGAAAATTACCGGACCCTCGTAGCGCTCACCGGAACGGCCAGCAGTGTCATTGTACTGGTTATTCATTATTGAGGCTTTCTGCTTTTCCACTTCCTCTCTACCTTTGTTTACTTTTCTGGATGCTTGCCATTGTGTTCTGAGGCTACTATCCGTGAGTGGGACTACATGCATGATTCTGATAACATTGCCTTCTCATGAGTTTGGTTTTATTACAAAGAGCAAAAAAGGTTCTCTTGTATTGGTAGTGAAGAGTTCTTCTCTTTCTTGCCTTATTATGGTTTCTCTTGTTTCATTTGATGTTGGAGTTGCCCGATGAGAACCTTGGAAAATGATTGCATGAGTTGTTGTTGTGTGGCTAAGGCGATCTCCTCGGTGATGTTTACTGGCATGCTGTATTTCCTCTCGGGAGTTCTTCCACAGATACAGTCAAGGGTCTATGTCATTTATTTCTCTACTAACAGGTCATTCAGGCTCACTTTGAAGGCTGTGAAACTCATTAGTGACTTCCTTTTCCGGATCTGGAACTTCATCCTTTTTCTCACACCATTACCATCCTGCTTCTCAGACACCATTACCGTCCTGGTTTCACCTATTGTGTTTATTGGATCCTACTCAATGAGTACCAACTGGCCTAGCTCAGTTGGTACACCACTGAACAGTTGAAATACAAACCTCAGTTCGAGCTCCACTGAGAGCAGATGAATAAAATAACTGGGTTAAGCCGATGTCCGGCCCAGACGGACTGGGCCAGACGGACCGGGCCAGACGAACAGGGGGGGGGTCTGTCCGGCAAAACCAGACGAGCCAAAAAACATCCCAGGAATTTTTTTTTTTTTTTTTTTTTTTGAAGATGG